AAAAATATTACTTTTCTATTTTATTTTTAAACACACAACAGGTTAATATGGATAAAAAACAAAGTGTGGCCAGAGCTCCTAGGGCCGTGGCTGGCAAACCGCGGCTCGCGAGCCACATGCGGCTCTTTGGCCCCTTGAGTGTGGCTCTTCCACAAAATACCACGTGCGACGCGCACGTACAGTGCGATTGAAACTTCGTGGGCCGTGCGCAAAAGTCGGTATTTTGTGGAAGAGCCACACTCAAGGGGCCAAAGAGCCGCATGTGGCTCACGAGCCGCGGTTTGCTGACCACTGTGGGAACTAGCTACCTAATTAAGAAAAACAAGTGCTCTGTAATTTGCAATTCTGTTCTTACATAACCAGGTTTAGCCTTCAGTCATCATCTCAACAAACACAAAGCAGTGAAGTGCTGGATAGCTGGAGACCCTGGCCCGCTTAGTCACATACTCTGTAACTAGTAAGTACTTACTAGTCATAGATTATTGTTTCTGCATCTTAAACTACTGCCTGGGAATCGCCCTCTCACATCAACTCTAATACTCAAAGTACGTAAACTTGTAGAACAGCGTATCCAATATTATATTCATAAAGCAGCTTTAAAAAAACAAATGTTTCCCATTACTTCCCCAACATCAACCTACTGCTAGTTGCCACCATTCTGGCTTTTTGATTAAAAAAAAAAAGTCTAGAAAGGACTTTAACGGGACTGCACCTAGTAACAGGTCAACAACACAGGCACTCAGAGCTAACTACAGTCTGCCCCATGATGAAAGCAATTAACAGATATTTGTTACTACTTTATGTTACTATTTACAGTTCAGTTCCTCTGTCCTAATGGCTTCCCTCGAGAGGTCTCCCTAGCAGGCAGGTCCGGCGCGGGTTTGTACAGGTCCGTCCCCTCACATAGGGACAGAGCCACGTGCTGGGAGAATGCAAAAGGCGAGGCATCAAACCTCCTTCCAGGCAAAAGCACGACAGGAAAACTCAGGGAGCGCTCAAAATCTCCGTGATTCTGGGGAGCCACGGCAACTATCCTCCAGGGGTAACAAGTCCAACGGAAAAACCACCAGGGCCGCGGACAGTGTGAGGTGCAGCCTCAGAGAAACTAATAATAGCAACGGCTGTCATTTACGCAGCACGGGGCTAGCAAGTCTTAAACAGATGACCTCATTCCCTCCTCAAAACAATCTGGTGCCATGGCCATCACCTGCACGTTAGAGGGGGGGCTCTGAAGCTCAGAGGATCCACTGAGCAGCCCACTGTGACAGTCCCTGGCAGAGCTGTCGACCAAGCGGAGGTCTGCACTCTCACACCACACTGCCTCCCTCACTGGAGTGCAAGAGCGAGAGTGTCTGCTCCGGACGGAAGGTGGTAAGAATGACTCCTAATTTGGAAATTAAGCCAAATCAAGACAATCTCTGAGACGATGCATTAGCTACAGTACAGGCAGAGCTGCTGTAACAAAGAGGCCCCAGCCCTACTTGGTTTGGCTCTTGGCCTTCGGACCGAAGGATCCCAGGTTTGATTCTGGTCAAGGGCACGTACCTCGGTTGCAGGCTCCTCCCTGGCCCAGACCCTGGTCAGAGCGTGTGCAGGAGGCAACCAATCGATGTGTTTCTCTCACATGTTTCTGTCTCTCCCTCTCTCTAAAAACCAGTGGAAAATATCCTCAGGTGGATTATAAACAAATGAACGAACGAACAGACCCCGGTCCAGAGGCCGGCCGGGTATCTTTGTTCCACGAGGCCATCCCCACAGCCTCTTCGTTCACTAAGAGGAAAAAGAGGAACTGGAGAGTAAATCTTTCTTTGAGATTAGGCCCTGGGAGGTCAGCTATTTCTGCTCACACCCAATTCGCCAGAGCTTTTCACATGCGCATGGCTAGACACGAGGAAGGCTGCGGGAAGGGTCTCTGCATGTGCCCTTAAGCTTCCTCCAAACGGAAGAAGGGGAGATGCAGTCAGGGAAAACTCAGCCTGTGGAGCCCACGCATGGCCCGCCCCCTGCACAGGGAGAAGCAGCCTTAGAAATGCTTCGTGGAGTGACTGAGCACCACCAGGCCCCAGTACATCTCCCAGAGTGAATTGGTTACAAAAACCAAATTTTATCTAATCTAAGATGCCTTCAAACATAAGACGCACCATCGTTTTATGCACCACAAGAAAGAAAGCTGCTGCCCATAACTCCATGCTATGCCAATGTCTGCAGAGGCACATCCATTTCAGACACGTTAAAGGTGGGACATGTGTTTCTTAGAACAAATAAAACACAGTGTGCCCTTGAAATAACAAACCAAAGCTTATCTACCTTGTGAAATCACTGGGTAAAAACCAATTAAATTTTAGAAGACAAATTTTATAGTTCTTATTAAGCCATTCTTTATGATGACAGAAATAATATATCGAGGCCATACGGAGACTTCATCAAGTTAAAGACCTAACTGGATTCTATGGGAAGGACAGACAGCCGCCTTCATGTGTGACAGGGCAGGGGCTGGCCTGCATGCCGGGAGCCGGTCCATCCTTGCTGTTTCAAGGGACCTGGCATATATGGCATACTGTTCTTAATATGTTTGCTCACCTTCTTGGCACTATGTGTTTTAACCAAAGTCTCTGAGAAAGGTTGTTTCCCCAGGTAGGGATTTTCCCCTGAAGTTAGGGAGGGAATAAAACCTCTTAACTAAGTGCCAGGCGGGTAATTAATCACTTTAACTACGAACAATCATGCTTAAGCTACATAATCTTTACTCCCTGGAATGGAGATAAGAAACGCCCTAACCTTTGTAATAGAGATTGATAGGATTGAATCAACTGGTATAAATACAGATGTAACAAGACAGCAAGACCAGAACCAAGAAGACAGAACCTACACACAGAACTTAGAAGACAGAACTTAGAAGACAGAACCTACACAGAACCTAGAGACAGAAGAACTTCGCTGGAGAGAACATGGCAAAAGATCCTGGACTGAACCTGACTACAGAAATTGGCAAGAGAACCTGACTAGAACCTGGTGAATGAACCTGGCTGGAGAACGTGGACAGAACCTGGCTGGAGAACCTAGCGAGGGAACTTGGCTACAGAACCTCGCTGGAGAACCTGGAGAACCTGGCTGGAGAACCTGGACAGAACCTGGCTGGAGAACCTGGCGAGGGAACATGGCTACAGAACCTGGCTGGAGAACCTGGAGAACCTAGCAAGGGAACATGGACACAGAACCTGGCTGGAGATCCTAAGCAGAACCTCTCTGGAGATCCAGACCAGAACTTGGCTGGAGATCCTGGCTAGGCTGCTGATCAACTGAACACTGTCTCCATGTCATTCCTTCTTCGCCGACTCCGTCTACACCTTTGGGGACCCCTGGACCCGCTGGGGTTGGACCCCAGCACCTGCGCAGGAGCACTCGGAAGGTTTCCAGGGAAGTGAGCTTAGTGCTGAAGGATACTGAGCTGACTGGCAGGGGCACAACAGCACAGCGGAGGGAGTGTGGCCTGTGGGAGGGAGAGCCGGTGAGCAGGGGGCCTAAAGCATGGGAGTGGGGAAGAAATAAATGCCAGAGCAAGTCTAATCAGGGAGACTTCGGTTCAAGTTTTGTTTTTTATCCTCAGAACAATGAGAAGCCCCTGAAGACTTTTAAGCAAGAGAATAATAATCATACTGTGCTTCTATGTGGCCATTCCATGCAGAGAACGGACTATAAGGGGTGTGTGGACCAGTGGAGACCAGTGACTAGCTCCTGTTGTCAATCTAAGAGAGTGTAGACTTGGCAGTTTAGATCTGGGGAGCAGCAGTGGATTTGGGGACAGAAAGCGGGGTTTAGTTAGGAGCTAGAAGGAACTGACCTTGGTGGGAACCTGGCTATGAGCATAAGGGAGAGGGAGGCATCAAGAAGCACCCAGGTTTCTCCCCGGTGGGACTAGGTGGGCGGCATCACTCACGGAGATAGCTGCCGGAGCAGGACGAGTTGAGTCTGAGACGCTGAGCATTAAACTGGGCAGGGAGCTGGCAGCTAGACACCTCCTTCTGGCTCAGACGAAACCAATCAGCTGGAGGAAACCCTCAGAGATGTCAACGTAGAGACAGAAATCAAAGCCACAGTCACAGGGGAAACTGGCAGGGAAGGCGTGAGAATTGACAGAAAAGTGGCTTCAGGAACATCAGCATTTAAAGGTCAGGCTCAGAGGATGAGGCAGCCATTCAAACGTCCATCCGTCACTTCTGCATCAATTATTTATTAACGCCTGGCCACAGTGTGCCAGGTCTCTCTGGCTTAGGAGTCAGGACCTGCAGCGAACCCATTCTGGTTAGAGATATGCCCATGCGGTGGTAATTCACTCTTCATGTGATCTGTGCGTACTGAGGGTTCACGGAGCTTACATATTAGGAAACTGTAGTAAGCACACAATTACCTTACACCCTTGCCTCTCTCAAGTAAAAGTACAAAAGTTTCCTTGAGAACTTAATGTTGCTTCTCCCACTAATGGTTATTCATCTGGAGGCTCATGTACCGTAAGAGATGTAAACATTCAGCTCAAAGAAGAGCGCTCAACACTGAAAAAGCATCCGTGTCATTTCAAATCCCTGGAAGCAGCCTGTGAAGTCTGAGACAGACAGTAGCCCCGACTGGGAAAGGTGCTGGTTATCACCAAGCCCTGTGGAGTCCAAAGATGCTCAGACAAAAGAGAAAGGGGGAGCTGCAAGTTTCTAACCGGAGTCACTGGAGTGCAGGAGCGGCCTCCTGTGAGAGCAGATGGCAGCTGGGCCCTGCAGAGGAGAAGCTGCTTTGGGAAGGAGAGGCAGTGGAGGCGGAAGAGCAGGAAGCGCTGCTGATTGCACAGCACCGCTGGGGGCAGGTGACCACCGTCTAACTTACACCTCGATGAGGCTTGGCTCAGTTCAGGGCATTTGCTAAACTTAGAGATGGTTGAAATAATTCTTTATACAAAACTTCACATTCTGCTTTTTTCATTTATAACAAGGTATTCTCACACTAAACAAATATATTTTCATCAATGTAACTTTTAATGACAACACAATACTGTCATTGTGTGGATAGATAATAATTTTCTTAATAATTCCCATGTTGTTTCTTTGGGGATTCCCATTTTACACTATTTCCGTCACAAATCCCCTTTCGTGTAGTTTGTTCTGTACTTGCGACTATTGTCATGAGCAATTTCCAGCAGCACAGCAGCCTGAATGAAACAAAAGGATGTAATTAAGGGTTTCAGTACTTATAACCAAACTGTTATCCAAAAGCATTTTAATAATCTATATTTTTATTAGCTGAGTACAAGAGTGCTTATTTCAAAATACCCTCCCAAGCACTAAGATTACAATTTGTAATCTTGGTTAATCAGATAGAAAAAGTATCTCACTGGCTTTAATTGGCAATTCTTTGATTATTAATAAACATATTTCCCCATATTTGTTACCCTGAATGAATTTTCTGTGAATTGACTGTTTATATCTCTTAGCCTATCCACTGGGTTCTTAGAGGATTTTTTAAAATCAATTTATAAGAGTTTATATGTTAAATGTTAACCATGTTGTTTATATTTTTTCCCATTTTTAATTTGCTTTGATTATTTGTGGCATTCAGATGTTTTCATTTCTCATAAATCCCACGAAAAACTTTTATAAAATACTTAGTGCAGAAATATTCCCTAAATTTATTTATTTTTATTTCCTAGGTTTCCTTTTTTTTATATACAGATGATGCTTTATTTAAAATTCATTCAGGTGTATGGTAGACACTGGATTTACTCTGGTTTCTTTTGAAATAAACAGTGAACAGAGTGCCTGGGTGCCACTTGCACCTAGGACTAAGCGACCCCTCCTTTCTCCACTCATCTGTGACACTGACTCTTCATATGTCAAAGTCACATACAACAGATGGGCCTGAAGGCCACTCTGCTCCATTAATAACTGTGCGCTTCTGCCAGGGCCACAGGATTCTAATTCTTCCCATTTTTAAAATTTGTGGTTATTTGTTACCACTTGTTTCTCTCGTTACTCTTTTTAAAAATTATTTAAGTACTAGTGTCCCGGTGCACAGATTCGTGCACATTGAAAGGAAATTAATTAGAAGAAATATTTTAATATCACTATTTTCCCTTTCTTTATAATAGAAGTATCAACCAAATTCATGATTGACAATGACAAATCGAAACACACACGTGCAATTGGCACCAGCAAGAGCTTTATATGCATCACGCATGCGCGAGTCAACTTAGCCTTTTATAAATATGGCCCTCAACCCCCCTGGGAAAGGGGCCACGTCTGCTGCTACCCACCCCTGGCTCCCCGTCCCAGCCCGAGGGCCTGGCCCTAATCAGGCAATCAGGGCCTGCAGGCTGGGGGCAGCTCCTGCGTTGAGCGTCTGCCCCCAGTTGTTCCATCCTAACGGTCGCTTAGGCTTTTATATATATAGATAATAAATTTGCTTAATTAGACCTGCTTTCTGATGGAGCTAAACTTTTTCCAGCCCAGTGAAGCACCCCAACTTCACTTTCAGGTAATTGTCAGCAACACAGCAGTAAATATCAACACGAAGCACATTATTATTGTAGATCACGCAGGGAGAACAAAGGGTGAAATATTTAACTGTATCAGTGTTTGACTATATTCTGCACAGTGAGAACACCTGAAGTCATTTTCAAGGTCCACCATTTCTTACTTCTTTTCAGTCGGGTCAAGTTTCTAAACTTTCTAAATCTCATTTTCTGGCTAATGCAAAGAAAATAGGATTCCACCGAGTCTCCTATGCACCTACTCCAGGACTTCTGTGAGGATCAAATGAGATGAGGCATGAGAAAATGCTTCACAGACATCTGGCTAAAGTGTAAAATGTTTGCACCTGGCCATAGAGCAAGTCGTGTTCCTGGGCTGAAGAAACTCCAAGGAGGCTAGTCACTAGGGAGAGGAAGCCGGGCGTTGCTACGTGACGTCATTGCCCGGCGACCACAGCGACCGTTTCCAGGCTGGGCTGGGTTGTGGGCCACATTTTGTGCCATGGGGTCTTGGCAGCGTTGGTTGTGATTTGGTGGGGTGTCACTCTGGGGTGGTGGCGGGGCCTGTGTCCCACTTGGGGGAAGCCGAGTATTGGTTTGTCGGCGCCAGGTCCATGGTGCCACTTATTTTTAAATGGCCAGTGCGTATCATGGAAGCTCCTACGTTGAGCGTCTGCCCCCTGGTGGTCAGTGCGCATCATAGCTACCAGTTAGACAGACACTTAGCCTTTTATATATATAGATATATATTTTTATCCTTCCAGATGAAATTTACAACCATTTTGTCATGTTCCAAAAGAAAAATATGTATTTTTTAAAAATTAGAACTGCTTTAAACCTGCAAATTATTTGAACTGAGAACTGTAGGATTTGATTTTCCTGCTTGAGAAAAATCTGTTTCTTTCTCTCTTCTCAGTGACACTGTCCTTTTCTTCATATTCATTTCCTATATATATTAAGCTCATTTCTAGGGATTTTATACTTTCTTGTTACTATGTATAGCAGTGGTTCTCAACCTTCTGGCCCTTTAAATACAGTTCCTCATGTTGTGACCCAACCATAAAATTATTTTCGTTGCTACTTCATAACTGTAATGTTGCTACTGTTATGAATCGTCATGTAAATATCTGATATGTAGGATGGTCTTAGGTGACCCCTGTGAAAGGGTTGTTCGACCGCCAAAGGGGTTGCGACACACAGGTTGAGAACCGCTGATGTATAGTATCAATATTTCATGCATCACCTAACTGGTTACTGCTGGTAGGTACCTGGCCAGGTTACTGAGTGATCTATATTGCATCAAGTTACTCTTTAGCTCATCATCTTGAGTTTTCTGGGTATACAATCTATAAACAAAACCATCTTCTCACCTTTTATTCCTTATTTCTATTTCATATTGTGGTAGGCAGAATGTTGAGAGTTCCTCTCCACCCCGAGATTCCTGGCCCTTGGCATACACCCCAAACCCCAGCTCCAGTATCACAAGGCTGGGCTTAGACCAGCCGTGGGCAAACTATGGCCCGCTGGCCGGATCCGGCCCGTTCGGCTGTTCTATCCGGCCCACGGAGCCGAAAGAGCGGAGGGTTCTCTTGCTCTCCCCTCCGCTCCTTCACCAGCAGCAGTGTTAACGTGTATTAGTTCACACAAACACTCCATCCATGCTTTTGTTCTGGCCCTCCGGTCCAGTTTAAGAACCCATTGTGGCCCTCAAGTCAAAAAGTTTGCCCACCCCTGGCTTAGACAGACTGGAATTTACACAGATTGGGAATGAGACACTGGCACAGTCTGTTGCTTTGGCACTCAGCTTCCATAGATGCTGTCCCCACACTGAACTACACAGAGCATCAAGACAACAGTTTGCACCCGACAGCATGTACCATCCTTCCCGTAAATGAAGATGCTCTTCCTTCTCCCCAAAGTGAGGAGCCACAGTCCTAAGAGCCATCGTAACCATCACTGCTACACTCCGTACTCTTTACCTTCAGTACAGCCCCACAAAATATTCTGTTCTCAAAGGCTAAACTGTCAAATTAACTCCCAATAATTTGGATGTAAAATAAGGGGAAGAAGGAAAAAGTTAAACATCCAGATATAACAAGCAAAGAAAAAACATGCTAAATTACTCCAGTTCTCACTTCTGTACCTGGTCCTGAGGCCATGATGGTGTCCATGACTTTCTTTTCCACTGTCCATCCCAGATTTTTTTTTTCCTCAATCAGAACCTCAGGCAGGCAGGGTTCTCAGCATGACAGGACCACCTAAACCTTCAATCCTGAAGAATCGGACTCAGCAGCTCTGCCTTGTGGGGCTGGGGGGAGAGGGTCTTACAGATTGTCATTATTCTTTAATGTTGAGCGTAGCAGTCCTTCCTAAGATGCACTTCAGAGAATCCTGCCACAGACATTTACAGCTATGAATTTCCCTCTGAGTACAGTTTAGCTGTATCACATAAATTCTGATACGTTGTGTTTCCTTTTTTAATTCAGTTGAAAATATTTCTAACTTTCCTTGTGATCTCTCCTCTTTTTTTTTTGGGTTATTTAAAAGCCTCCTGTCTAAGTTCCTATGGCTTATGCATGGAGAGAAAGGAGGAGGAAGAGGACTCCCAAGGTTTGATTGGAGTGCCTAGAACAGGGGTTGGCAAACTTTTTGACTCAAGGGCCACAATGGGTTCTTAAACTGGACCGGAGGGCCGGAACAAAAGCATGGATGGAGTGTTTGTGTGAACTAATATAAATTCAAAGTAAACATCATTACATAAAAGGGTACGGTCTTTTTTTTTTTTTTTTTAGTTTTATTCATTTCAAACGGGCTGGATCTGGCCCGCGGGCCATAGTTTGCCCACGGCTGGCCTAGAAGGATGTGGTGCTCTCAGGTGAATGGGGGGGTTGTGCGCCAGAAAGACGTGGGGCCAGAGCAGGCCTGGCGTCCTGGGCCTGTGAGGGGGACATGCTCTTTAAGCGGCATGTAGAGGCGGCAAGCGGAGATGCAAATGCTCCATCTGGGAGCAGTCTAGGCTGGTGACATAGAACTTAGGAGTCTTCAGGTATGTGTGGCATTTAAAGTCACGGGACTGAATGAGGTCACCAAAGGCGTGAGTGTCAATGGCGAAGAGAAAGTTCACATGAGTAAAGGTGGAGAAGGTTCCATGAAGGAGTCTGGTGCTATCCTAGGAATGCTGGGACATTTAGAATTTGACCTGGCAAGGACAGAAGCCAATGTAAGCCCCTTAACCATGGATGTGAAGTAAATGTTATCACAGGATAGCATGTCATACCTGTGACTAATGGAGGTGTTAAAAATTACCAGATAATGATATCAAGAGACCTAGGTGTCCAGAGACATTTAAAAATACGAATATATTAATATTAGGCTTACTGCACATATGTTTACTAAAATGCTAACATCCTTACACTGCCCAAACCCCTAAACAAGATCCGTACCCCCACACCTATTTTTTTCTGTACCCACAAGTCTCTCTACCAATCGTGCACTTAACATCTCTCTCCTGGAAGCTGTGAAATCTAAGTGAGGAGTCAGAGAATGAAAGGAAGAGCGCGCTCCCTCCAAAGGCGGAGCCCGAGCCCCGCCTCCTGAGCCTGCAGGTTTGCAGCTGCACTCTTTCCCATTCTGTGTTGAGGAACCAGAAGAAGACATAATGCAGAAGGAAAATGGGTCAAGTGAGGGAAATTGCTTTCCAACAGAGGTTTTCGATGGAATAGGAAGCAGCTGAATTAGACGGAAGAAAGGCAGCCATCACCCATTCATATGCTGCTCTTCTTTATCAAAGGCAGCGCGCTTCTAGCCTTCCCCAGGAGCTAAAAGGTGACACAGATTTCCAGACATGTCTTCCCACTTGATATCATGTGGCTCAGAACTAGAGCCCCTTTAAGTAGCTTTATTTGTCTCAGTAACATTAATTGTCAGATGATGCTTCAAGAAGACCCGGCTGCTGGGGAAAAACCTGTGAGCGCTCCATGCGTCTGACCCGCGCCTGCCCAGGCTGTTTAGACGCAGAGCGACAGTTAGGGAGAAGAGGGAATTTCACATTTAAATAATGCTTCTTATAAACACATCAAAGTCAGTGTTGCCTTTAGAGTTTTAAAGCCCAAAATTACTCTATTTGGGGCTGTGAACCCATTAGACGCAGGAGATTTATGTAACATTTGATAACTTTTTAATTAAAGCAGATCAGGTCTGGGCCCCAGAGAGCTCTTAGATCTCAGAGTGGGACGGCTCCTCTGTCTGAATGAGCTGATGACAGAGCTCAGGTGCATCGGCTTCCTCACCGACCGATGAGAGTAAGTGAGGTAACACGTGAAGTCCGTACTTGGCACACGGTAAGAACGAAGGCGACAGCTATGATGAAGTTCAGAACCCTTTCTCCAGCTGTGAATCTGTACCTTCAGAGCAAACAGGCTCTAGAACACAATACATGGGAATGAAAGAAAGCAGACCAGATCGTCTCAAACCAGGCCTTAACGCCCATCTATGGAGTTCAAAGTTTCAGGAAAGAAAATGCAAACAAACAAACAAAAAACCTCCCAAAACAAATGAGAAAAGAAACCCCTGAAAAGGTGAAAAGAGCAAATTTTAAAAAGGGGAAGGGAAGGTTATGGGACATGCAAATAAAAGGCTTGAAAACTTTTGAGCAATCCTGAAGTCTGAAATTGATGTCCACTAATTTCAGACTTAGTTGGGAAATCACAAATTAATAAGAAATAGCCATTTTTGTAGGCTGCAGGATTTATGTAATCAAAATTCTGCCATTGAAGGGTATTAAATCGGCAGTGTAGTAAATTAATCACATTTAATAATTTTGCTAAAGGAGTACTTAAATTATGAGTGCACATAAATTGATTTCAAGAAAAAGAATGCTGACAATACCCTTTTAAAATCTGATCTGATTTCCACAGAGTCCTCCCTCGAGGAGACTAGCGCAGTAAGTTTAACACTTGCTAAGTGGACATTCTGGGTTGGCCAGAATGACCGCAGTGGTCGTACCTGAAGACAGTCACCAGATCTGTGAAAGGCAACCAGGCGTTATTTTGTACAATTTTATCACACCTAAGATTCAAATGTCCCTAAGAAACGTCACATTATTTCTTCACAGTTTGGTTGGTGGCACTTACCCAGGGGCTTCAGGGAAAGGGAACTGCCCATTCCTATGGGCACCCCCAGAAGACAGTGCCAGGTGCCCCCTGAGGACATTAAGACCATCACCCACACCCCTCTCCTCACACCTGACGGGAACCCCCACAGGGAGGCTGCCTCTTGGGAATTATGGTTGGCCACCACCCTAGAGAAGGTCTCAGCTTCCTCCCTCCCCCTCCATCCCGGGTGGAAGCAAAATCTCTGAAGGAACAGGTAACTCAAAATAAAAGTGAAAACTTTAATCTTAGCCTCCACAATATACTGTACAGATACAAAAATGTTCTCTCTGCTGTCAGCAACTCAAAATCTAACAGAAATGAGCGACAATGAGGGCTTTCCGCAGAGCAGCAATCCGCAGGCTCTGCTCAGGTTTAAAGGCTAAAACGAATGCAGAGAAGCAATCACGCTCACCCACTGAATATAAACCGTAGCATATACGCAGGCCCAATGGTGACCACGGTTCTTGTTCACCACCCAACTGTGACATAAAGACTTGTCTGCTTTAAAGCTTCCTCACTCCACTCTGCAGGACGGTTAAAAAAGTCCTTTATTTAGTTTTATTTTCTTTGTTAAAAAAGAATCTATTATCACTTAAGTTTAAGGAATCTATTAAGTTTATCTAACCTTTAACAAACTCTAATAACTTCAACACAGACATTACTCATACTGGTATATACTTATGTTATAATCTGATCTTACGTTTCCCAGAAATATATTGATGATTTTTTTCCCTATTTTCTGTCAATATTGTGCAAATACCCACAACATTTGCAATATATTTGGGACTGTTTTATAAAGTCTGAGTGAAGATTTTTTTATGGGTATGGTACTCAGAAAATTCAATTTCACTGAGAATCTTCACCACAATTTGCAGCAGAGCCCCATTATTACATGGCTCATTACATGCGTGGATTAATGCTGAGTCAGATCTCTACCCCAGACCCTCACACAGTACACTCCTCTGAAATGCTCTCTCCTGCTCCCGTCTCCACCAGCCTGAGCGAGGACTCGCTGTGAGACACTGGAAGGAGCAGTGTTTGGTGTCTACACGGCAGTAACAGACGGTGCTGGGAGGCTGTGGCTCTGGGACATGCTTATAAAAACATTCTAGACACATGCTACATGCTACATATCTTCTTACGTATTTTCCTATAGGGCAATGTTAGAATGGATATCTCATTACATAAAGCACTATACACTTTAGAATGTAAGCATGCCAACAATAATAATGGGAGAAGTATTGAGAGGGAGGAGGGAATGGGACTAGAAACTCTCTGTGGTTCCCACCAAAAGGGATGTAAATAAATAATAAGGACCCACTGCCGTAGAGAAGCAAGCATGTCAGACGGCTCCCGTCCGCACTGGCCTCCCTGCACACCCAGGAGCAGGCCTGTGTGCCTGGCCTCTGAGCACTCAGCACCCCCACAGCTCTCGCCAAGCACGCTGGCCTGTCGCGTCTGCCGACTCCACCCTACCCCTGCGCATGTGCAAGCCTGCATCACTTTAGAGGCGCCGCAACAGCCACGGCTTTCCTGCTTCCGATTCCACCTCCATCGACTACTCCTTGGCTCAGTGGAAGTTCCTCATCCACCACCGAGTTTACATCATGCCCATCAAGAGTTCCCACGAGCCCCTTTACCCCTCACTGCCAACACCAGCCTCCACTTACAGACTTGTCATTTTTTCAATAAAAATACTGAGTCCAAGGTGCTATGTCAGTCACTTTCCAAAATGCTCCCCAAACATGGCTTGTCCGTTCGTCTCCTTGTAGAATATCCCTTCTAACCAGCTAAATTCTGCCCTCCTTCCAGGACCCTGCAAGCGAAGTCTTGCCTCACCCCTGCGTCTCTTCCCTCTCTCCACACTCCCCAAGTCTGTCCCACTGAGCTAGAAGATGGCTCGGGGGGGAAGCAATGTTTGGTAGTCACAAAAGTTTGGGCAAGACGAGGCTAATGAAGGTAAACGTATTTCTTTGGCTGCTGAACTCCTCCGAGCACCTAAGCCCTTCATCCGCATCTTCCAGGGGGGACAGGCACATGGCTCCCTAGCTGTCCTACCACAGGCTGCTCGGCTTTGTTCACCTGCTGTGCCTGCCTCCCTCCGTGGGCGCCCCAGGAGGGCGTCTGTGCAGGAGAGGAAGGGTGAAGTGTCAGGCCGGGCTGCAGAAGGCAGTGGGGGTGAGAGAGCCAGCAGAGGACCTCCACACACTCACTAAGGCTCTGCCTTCAGGCAGATGAGCCCACCCACCAGCCTCGGCTTCCCCTCCCCGACCTCAGGAAGAGCCCCTTACAAGGTGCTGCTGAAACTCAGACGACCCCAAGCTGTCCAGCAGGCACCCCGCTAATGTTTCCGCACACGAGGCCGAGGCACAGAGGCTCATTAACAGCCATCCAAGCCTCCACGCTACTTATCCCGGGCAGGGCTGTGAGGGGCCGTGAGTTTACACTCCGCCTCACCTCCCACAAGCCGTAGGATCTTGCGGAAGTTCCTTTCCTTGTCTGTCCCCCCTCTCCTCATCTATAAAACGAAATCAGTAAGACCAGCCATTGGCCGGAGTGCTGTGAGGACGACGCGCGTGCCTCTGGCACACTGCCCGGAGCAGAAGCTCGCAGATTAGCTGTGCCCGGTGGCAGGTTGTTTTTAAGGGAACATCTGGGTCACCTGAGAAGGTGCTTTCTAATGACCCCCCCCCCCCCCGGCTCCTCAGTGTCCCCATGACTCCAATCTACTTGCTTCCACACAGCCCCCACCTTCCTCCCTCCCTCTCCCCCCCACAGGAAAGCCTCCTTTAAAACACCAGCCTCCTGGAGAACAAAGCCTATGAATGCCCTTCCCACACGTTCCCTCCCCGTCGTATTTCATATTCCATCCAGTGTAAGAGACACAATGCAGTCAGAGCGGCAGCCCTATGTCACCCCCGCCCGCCAGCAGCTCTGCTCCGAGCACCGCTCACACACGGACTGGAGAAGTGAGCTGTGCCCACGCCGCCATTTCCCAATGTCAGGCCTTACTTCATTCCCCATGGCTACTTGAGCTTCGGTTTCCCCGCTTATTAAAAGAGTAATTAAAAAGAAATGATCTTTGGGAATAAAAAGTAAACAATACCTTTGCCAGGCTCAACCCAAGCAATTGATTTCAGTTGTGAGACCTCTTAATAAGCGAGGTTGTGCACATAAGACGAACCCAGCAAAGCGCACCTCCCAGTCACCACCTTGGCACGCAGCTGCGTCTGGCACGAGCCTGGCTGCCCATCGACAGGACGCAGCCTGAGGGGCCAGCTGCTGGGAGGCCTCTGACTTGATACTGTGCATTGCAGGCCTGCAGCTCAGGCCTTCAGAGGAAGGACATTATGGAGATATCACACAGCATTAATTTCTAAAATGTTCTGAAGAAGGAAAGCAGAGTCTCTAAATCAGGGGTTCTCAACCTGTGGGTCTCGACCCCTTTGGTGGTTGAATGACCCTTTCACAGGGGTCGTCTAAGACCATCCTGCATATCATATATTTACATTATGATTCATAACAGTAGCAACATTACAGTTATGAAGTAGCAATGAGAATAGTTTTATGGTTGGGTCACAACATGAGGAACTGTATTTAAAGGGCCAGAAGGTTGAGAACCACTACTCTAAACAAAAAAGGAGCGGTTCAGCCCTGACCAGTTGTTCAGTGGTTAGAGCGCTGGCCCGCTCACCGAAGGGTCATGGGTTCAATGCCTGGTCATGTACCTGGGTTGCAGGTTCAATCTCCGGTCCCAGGTAGGGTGCATCTGCAACCAATCCATGTGTCTCACATCTCTCTCCCCCTCTTCCACTCTCCAAAAAGTCAATGGAAAAAAATATCCTCAGGTGAGGATTAACAACAACAACAAATAGATTACTATTCGGTGTTAGTATTCTAGAGGCTCACCGGGATCATCTCAATTTATACAGATATTGATTAGTCACAGAAAATGCTGTACAGTGACGATGAGCTGACATATTTGCGCTCTTTATTTTCTTATTTTGTATAAAAAAATTGAAGTTTTTGGTGTCAGAAAAGGTTTACGAGGAAGTAAGCCACGCTGGATCCGCTCACCGGGGAGAGATGCCCGGCGACTCTGGGGGCCTGTGCTGTGGCCCAGGCGCCCAGGCATGTCCCTCTCCCACAGAAAGAAGCGTCTCCACACAGAGGCCAATGTGGAGGGAGGCCCTGTGAAGGGCAGCGCACCACTAGAGCAAGTATCTCACCCGTCGGCCCTCATGGGTACTGAATCAGAAAGCCAGCGCCCAGTGCACAGCGGGACTGAGCCAGCACAGAACGCTGGAGTTCATAGCAGCAGGGCCGCCTCCGAGGCCTCCCTCCTGCTGAGCTTCGCCGCCGCAGGGGGGGGGGGGGGGCCAGACTGCGTGTCCGCGTGCTGCCGAGGCAGGAGGCACTCTTAGCAACAGCTCTCCATCCCCGCAAGAGCCTCGGCCTGACAGCATCTGTGACCAAGAAAGGAGTTTTTAGTAAAACTTCAAAGATGGCACAAAAGGTAGGAATTTTTCACCATGTTTTTAACATGCAAAAGCTTGTCACATCCCAGTTGGAGAATTTAAAAAATACACATTTTACTTTTCATTAAATAAGTTACAGTTCAAATGCATGATTTACGCAACAGAAAACGTACAGGATTATATTAATCAATTTGTTCAAACAAGTTCAGAGGGCAAGGGTTACGTGTTTCTTGGTTTCAATGTCAGGCATACAATTTCTATACAAGGTTATATCGTTATTTCTGACAACAAGTAACCTTTATATCTTTAAATAATTGTACTCCTGAAAAGCTGTACATAAGCTGAATGTTTATAATTGAGAACATCTTTACTATACTAAAGTCTACTTAAAGAAAGCTCATTGTATATTATTTTGCAGTGACTGAACAATTATTTAAATGTGTAAATTTTAGATCATCATACTTAGACTGGCTTAAAGAAACCCTGAAATCTACCTTAAAAAGAGGCTAGCTCGCCCTGGCCGGTTTGGCTCAGTGGATAGAGCGTCAGCCTGCGGACTGAAGGGTCCCAGGTTCGATTCCGGCCAAGGGCATGTACCTTGGTTGCAGGCACGTCCCCAGTAGGAGGTGTGCAGGAGGCAGCTGATCGATGTTTCTCTCCCATCGATGCTTCTAACTCTCTATCCCTCCCCCTTCCTCTCTGTAATAAAATATATTAAAAAAAAAAAAAAAAAAGGCTAGCTCTCATGTGATGGTCTGCTCTCCTACTTTAATCTATGACATCTTCAAACAAAAATAAGATATTATGTGTCTTAATTGAGCAACTACAATCCAGTCCCCTTCATGTGAAATCAGTCATCATGAAACTAGAACACAGCACCAGTACTCTCTCACAAGATTTCTATAACTTAAGAAGGCCCTCTAAAATAAAGCTAGAATAAAAGGTAAAAACCCATTTGATTGTTTCAAAATCATGAGGTGAGAAGCCAAGACAATTTCAAGGAAAGGCAACAAACCAAAATAAAAGTTACCTGGCTCCTCCCCACCATGAAGACTCGTCCATGCCCATCTGCGCAGGCCCCTGCCCCGCATCCTGGCCTCCTCTGGGTCCCGAGCTTCTGTCACTGCCCCTGGTTTCTCCCTTTCTCCTGCTTTCCCACAGGCGTCAGCTACTCTGGCTAAGCGATCTTTGCTGCTCCATCTCCAAATCTTAATGATTTCATATGCGACGCTGATGTGCGAGCAGCAGTCTCAGACTCCACAGCCATCTACTGTCCGTCTTTAACATCCTCTCGATGCCACCTTTGCACAATAAGCCCTGAGTGGTGAGCAGTCATCAGAGACGTAAGCCTGCAACCCATGGAGGCAATTCCTACTGGGGAAGGCACAAAAGGTCGTCTCAAAATGGCTCTTTAGCCTTACAATGCTAAGTTGTCTGGGAAGTTATAGGATGCCAATGACATTCTATATTCTTCAATCAAATAATGGACAAATAGACTAATTTCCACTAGTCATCTTTTTCTTTTTTTTAAATTTAAAATTAGCATCGCTTTCTCGAGTCCAGCAAGAATAAGTTTACACTCAGGGCCTCCCTGCCCTCACTGGGAGGTGGGGTAGTAATGCAAGCTCCCCATTCTCAGCCGATGCTGTCGGAATTTATCTTCCATTTCTCTCCAATGGAAAGGTGTCCTCACTGAGAAGCTGCCCTCCAGCCCTCTCCTGCTCGCCAGCTTGGTTTTGGAAGTGAGCCAGGTGACAGCACTTGGAAAAGCACAACTGTATCTCAGGAAAGCTGGCTGCTTAACAAAAAGGTGTGATAGTGAGAAATGCTGTAATTTAAAATTTCCTATATTCCTCCATGGTATGTATTAATCACTGAGGGTCAAATGGAACAGTTCGCCCCAGTTTCCCTCACAATCAGCACTATAATGCAACTATTTGTTCCAAAATTCCTGAGCCAACTAAGTATAAATATAAACCTGTTACAAAATAATCTTTGTGAAAGTGTTTAAAATATATGCCACTTGAAAAAGAACAATAATAAACACTGTAAGGAGTGAAATCTGAAATCAACATTTACATATACCCTAGGTTACTACTAAAATATTTAAATGTCAGAACCCAAATGAAATAGGACTGAGCCTATGACAGCCTGGTGTCCCCTATTTAATTTCGGACGTTAATAATAAACAGGGGGTTCTGATCAGTAAGGCCTTTGACTGGGACAAGAAGCATGGAAGTCTTAGAATCAGGCCTCTAAGGGAGATCCTCATATACTAATATCTGGGGCTGTAGACACTCTCTGCTGGTTAAGGAAGTGCCAAGTAAAAGAAATTATTGTGTCACCATAAGTATGATTTAACTAATAATTTTACTATTACCATTTTCTAGGCTATCAATTTCTCATGACCCAACCTGTGAAAAATAAAAAACACACAACAGATTCCAAGAACCTCTATTCTTATGGAAATACAAATATTAAGAACTTTCTGTAGAAAACAAACTTTCAGTATAGGCAAACAAAGTAACCGTTATTCAGGCTATTAATATCTTCTGTAAACAGCAACAATGAAATAAATGTGGATAACATAACTGGGTTGGTCATTTTTGAAACCTCATTTTACATCATTTTCCCCAACAAAGCATCCTCGGGGTGCCAGGCTGAAAGGTGTCCAAAGACCTCACTACCTCCGTGGTTCGGAAATGATGTGAATTCTTCAAGGTGCCCTCTGCCAACCGAGTTCATCTACCTGGGGCTAGCTTTTACCCTTGATCCTTTCACATGGGACCAAAGGAAGTCTGGAATCTAAGCACTCAGTTGTCAGCATCCCCTCGGTATTTCCAACCGGCCACTACCGTCCTCTGAGATCATTCAAGCCACAATGTCCAGTGTCTCCGCTCATCGCCATGGCTACTCCATTCTAAACGTAGGAAGTAACTTGGCTACAATAAGCCCTGTGCAGGGCCAGCCACGTTCAGGGCCCTAGCAACCTCCTGACAGGGGTCACCCTAAACTGATCCCGCCCCGGCCGCAGCATGACGACCTGAACACCGGGCACAGGAGAGAACCCGGACCTCGGCAGCACGATGGGCTCAACCACCCAGGCGCCTCCAGCTTGCAACTCCTTGAGACGCCCGGGGTGGACATCGACAGAGCACCATTTTGAGTTCAGAATCCGCCGTTCATGCCTAGAAATAACCGAGCGCA